TACTAATATCGATATATTTTTGTCAAATTTTTATGATATTTTCAAACATATATTTTATTCAAAAATAAAAACATCATCGCTTTCTCAAAATCACATAAAACCATATTATAACATTGACTGAGATAAAGAATAAAATGAAATATTAAAATCACGATGTATCTCGCTGCATTGCGCGAGTACGCTTCTAATAATATTTAAAACGAAAAGACTATTGGAGATGAACATAAATTTATTTCGAGGATTTATGACTTTCGATTCTCAATTTTGAATAATCTATTAAAGATACTCTAAACATAGTTATTAATGTTCGATATGTAAATTTCAAATTTACAAGTAAATATCACAAATTTGCAACTTTTTAGAACTTGTTGAATTAAAAAAACTAATTAATAACCCACCGATAAACTCATTAATATACATGACGATTATAATCTATATTATATTATAAAATATTTGACAACAACTATTAAAAATCATTTTTTATGCATGAAGTACTGTTTATTGATACATATTACTTAAAATTTAATATTACAAGTAATTTTGTGTAAGTACAACTTAGGGGGTGTTTGAGATTGCTTATTTAAAACAACTTATGCTTTTTTTCTAAAAGTGCTTATTAACTTATGTGGTATCAAACCGGAGTTAAATAAAACATGGTTAAAATTATAAACTGGTAATAAGCAGTTTTTCATAAGTCAGGAAGAATTAACTTATCAAAAACAGCTTATTACCGGTTTGGTACCGGTATAAACAGTTTTTTTTCTTATACAAACACTAGAAAACAGCTTATCACCGGTGCCAGACTGTAATAAGTTAAAAAACAGCTTTCATAAGCAATCCCAAACACCCCCTTATTGATGCTTCATTTTTAAATTCGTGTAACTACATGCAGATAAACATAATCAAATACATGATAAATATCCATTTTAAATATAGAAAATTTAAAATATAATTAAAATAATCATTAAGTTCTAACAAAATATTTAATTATTATTTTTAAATAAATTATATTATTAAACATAAATTTAATTACTTCGTTACGTTAAATTGAATTATAATAAAGAAATTGAATTAAAAAAATTACACAAAACAAAAAATTTTAAATAGTTAATTTGATACTAATATCGATATAGTTTTTTCAATAAAAAAATAAAACATTATCGTTTCTGAAAATCACATAAAACCGTATTATATTGGTATAAATAAACAATAAAATGAGACATCAAAATCAAAATGTGTCTCAATGCATTATACGTGTATCCTTCTAGTATTGTTCAAATATAACAACCTACCTCATCATTATCTTTAAATAATTTTTATCATCATTAAATCATCTTTTTTATTTTTAAATATAAAATATTTAAATTACCATAGAATTTCAATTAAAATATAAATTTTTTATAATTATTTAATTTCATATCCCATATATCTTTTTGTATTCTTATCGAATTTTGGAGGGTCAACACGACGCAGTTTAACAACAACTGGTAATTATTATTTCACTCAAACATAAATTTCAACATCTTGTTAACAAAAAGATAATTGCATATTTGTGATCTCGTATGTTCAAATGCAATGATTCTGGGCTATCTGTAAAGCAGAACATCGACTCGCATAACGGGTTGGATATACAGATTAATAAAAAAAAAAAAAATAATTGCATTAACTTTCTTTTGTTTTACAATTAAATAAATAAACAACTGGTTTTTTTTTAATAACCGCCACCGTCTTTCAGTGGTGATTAGCCGTTACAATTTCAGAAAACTCCATCAATTGTTGCTGCTGCTGCTGCTTGGTTTTCATCATCCCGATCACCTCCATTGTTGTCGTCTTTCATCTTCACATACATCCCATACACATACGAACAAAACCCCCATAAACACAGCACCGTCGACACCACCTTTGGCCCCTTAAAATCATCGCCGTAAACCACCACCCCACCCAAAACATTCATCGCCATCAACGCCGTCATGCATATCCCTCCCGTCAACGACGTCGTCAGAAACACCATCCCCGCCGCACCCATAAAACTCAGCTGCCACGTCACAACGTTGAATCCCACTGTCAACCAATACCTGGTGGGTCCCAGATCGAACACCTCATCGCTCTCGTGTCTCATCTCTTTAAAACCTCCGGCCACCGCCATTCCCGCCGTGGCAAGTGCGGTTGCAGTCAACTCCATCAAAAACTGCATTTCCATCACCATTGCGTAACAATCCACCTTCCGGTAAATCTTTTCCATCAGCGGAAGGTAGAGCGCGAACAAGAGACCTGCACAGACTGTGGTTAAGAATCCGATGAGGTATTTTTCTCTTGTCAATCCTTCCGGCCGATCACCACTGGAATTCATGGCCAAAAGCACACAACCCAACGTCAGAAGAATGACACAATTAACATTCAAAAACGTAATCTTTTGCTTGACAATGAGGATCGAAAGGAGGAGGGTGAAGGCGAGTTGGGAAGACAAAACAAGTGACCAAGTAGAAAGGGGAAGATATGAACTCCCCCATGAAAAGCAAAGGTTACTGACCCCCAACATCAACCCCACTCCAAACGATAAACTCAAGAGTTTGATGTCAAAACTGGAGAAGGGTTTTCTTCGTTTATTAGCTTCTTTTGGCCGGAAACAATGGAGGTGGTAAGGGAGGTATATGGGGAGGAGGAGAAGGGGGAAACCGGCGGATTGGACCCAGGTGGAGAGCCATAGATTGGATCCTTTATGGTTGAAGTAAAATTTCAAGAGAAGTGACGAAGAAACGGAACCAACGAAGAGACATATGTAGTTAAGGGTTACAAGTATCTTGTAGGGTTTACCATAAAGTGACGATTTGTTGGATGTTAACCAGTTGATTTCTGGATGTTGGAATCGAACCTTCTTGGGAGATGTTGACTGCGATGAATTGCTCATCGTTTAGAGGGAGAGAGAGAGAGAGAGATTAAGGTTTTGTTGAATCAGTAAACACGAAAGCGCTGTAAATAAACAAATACGGGAACACCATAAATGTATCTTAGATTAAAGATTTACAAGATACATACGATCCCTTTTGCCATTGGATAATTTCTACGAAAAATAGAAAAGATAGCGACTAAAATTCAAAAATGTAATTAATATTTGGATGTAAAATAAAAACGGAATTAATAGTTTTAAATGTATTTTAGGGATTTTTTTTTATTAACCTGAATATATCCGACTTCCTATTCCTATGTGACCCGACTAATCCTAGGACGACCACATGCTTTACAGATAACCCGGAGTCACCGTATTTGAACCTTCGTGGCCCGAAGGGGAATTTTATTTTAAGGATTTTTAGTTTCTTGGAAATGAATCAAGATAAGATTTCTAGAAATTTCAAAAATTTGTGTTTATTTGAGTGATTTGGGGATGATAATTATAGAGGTTTCAAATATTTTGTTCTTAGTATCTAATTAAGGTAAAATATAAATATCATAGAGGGTAAATTGAATTATTTATTGATGTGGTTAGTGATATTGATTTTTTTAATCTAAAATTAGTTTTCAACCGGTTATCCGGATACTTAAATGTATAAAACTTTGCATCTTAGATACCAAAATAAAAATTTTGAAAATACGTTACCCAAAATAGAAGTCAAGTTAAAGTACGTTATTTTTTTTTTATGCAATTTGCCTTATTTTAAAAACCCAAAGATTTTGTATATATTAATAATCTATACTTATTTTTTTTAATTTGTACCATTAATTGAAATCTAATCATACTTTTGATTTGTAGGATTTGAATGGATTAAAAAATGAATTTTGTTCCATTTCTTCATTTGGTTTAAAGAAAAGTACTTAAATATTTTGCTCTTACCATTTAAATAAGGCTAAAATAATTAAATATAGAATAATATCTCATTTTAAATATAAAAAATCTAAAATATAATTAGGATAACAATTGACTTCTAACAAAATACTTGATTATTATCTTTATAAAAAATATTATTAAACGAAAAATAAAAAATGAATTAAAGAAATACACAAAAAAATGAGAAATTTTAAACAGTTAGTTTGGTACTAATATGAACATCATTTTTTCAATTTTTTATGATATATTCATATTTATATTTTATTCAAAAATAAAAACATTATCGCTTTATCAAAACCACATAAAAGCGTAATAATTAACATTAACCAAGACAAAAAAAAAGACGAAACATTAAAATCAAGATTTATCTCGCTGTATTGTGCGAGTACCCTTCTAGTAATTATATATGTACTCTTCGTGTACATTTTACACATATTATATAATATTTTTTATTTATATTATTATTATTATTATTATTTTATTATCTTCACTTATATATATATATATATATATGTATATATTTACTATTATATTACATATATGTATTGTATTAAAGTCTCATCGTAATTATTTTAAAAAACCTAAAATAGTTTAATCCAAAGGTTAATTTTAATGATTAATTAGTTATTTTAATCAATAAGATATTTATAAAAACCATTTGTATTGCATTTAAATAAGAAAAAAAATTCGGAAAATTAAAAAAACTGTTCAATTTTGAAATATTAAATTCTCGAATTTTTTTTATTGAATAAATTGTTGAACTTTTTTTTACGTTGAATGATTAATTCGTTGCATTTTTTTGAATAATTAAATGATTGAGATCTTTAAAAAATTGTCACTTAAATTATTTTAACCTAAAAAAACTCTCGTATTGTTGTAGAAGAAGGAGAATCAAAAGATTTTATGTTTATTTTTTGGGCCCTGCCATTAATATCCCTTTTTTTGAATATTTTTTTTGTCTTTTAACGTATATGTAAAATAATTTAAATATTATTAATATTTATATTAATTAAAATAATATGATGAAATATTATAAAAGAAATATTAAAATATGAATAAATA